ATGGTTTTATCAAGAAGTCGATGAGCCCGAACCGCAAGTTGTGCAGGATCCCAACAAACCAGGACCATCACGGAGTGGCATCGCATCGAGTAGCTCAAAGACTCCGCAGGGTACATCCTTTCTGAAAATTATCACCAATATGCGCATGTACATCTTTATACACATCTAAAATCACAAATACCAGCAAGTAAATATATCGTCGATGTTTTTGCAAAACCACTCACCGATCAGTCGCAAAACCGCCTAAATCGCCATTGTGGCAAAAATGAGATTTGGTAACCCTGAACTCCAGGCATCGAGATTTATGCATAAAAATCGTATAATCGTTATTGAAACTACAGATCTGAAAAATTATAGCTGGAGAAAATACCGCCTATGAAGGCAATGCCTTCAAAGAAAACCCGTTTTTTCGCTCTCCTTTAAAGTTTTAGTGCCGTAAGAAAGGCGTTTTTGCAATTAGTCGATGGGTGGTTTTGCAAAAACATTGACGATATATATACATATATACAGTGGCGGTCAAAAATGTGTGAATGGTGTTTCGTTTTTAATATTTACAATGTTTTTCAAACTAAATTTTTTTAATGTTTTTTTTTTTTTTTTTGTAAAAATGTGTTTATGTTTTAACAAAAACCATATATATCACACTTTATTACGTTTTAGCCAGCATTTTTTAGATTTTTGGGTATGCAGTTTTTGGCTAACGGCTTTTTCTCAAACGAAATTGTTAAATATCAATGCAATTTTTAGCCGCTCAAAACTTGAACTAATTTCACTAAAATTTTATAATCCTGTTAACTGCATACCCAAAAAATTAAAAAAGTCTGGTTAAAAAGCTAAATTCTGTATAAAGTTTAAAAGTGTGATTTATATGGTTTTTGTTAAAGCATGAACCATATTTTGATAAAAAAATAAAAAAAAATTATTGCTTGAAAAACATTGTAAATATTAAATACGAAACACCATTCATCCACTTTCAACCGCCACTGTACATATAAATATGTATGCATATCCACACATTCGTGCAGCATTAAACAGCAATTATCTTCCATTGAATGTATCTCTTTCGTCTAAAAGGTACCTCGCCTAGCGGATCTGCGCCGTCAAAACCAAAGAAATTGTTTCTCACAGATGGATGGAGTTGTGCTTTCACCGGGATTTGCATTTACATATTTCGCGTAAACACTTCAAAACAATTGCCCGAAGAAGGCTTCCAAAAGGATCTGTAAGTTCGATTAGCTTTTCGCTTGTACAATCTCATACATATGAACTTAAGTACATAAGTATGTGTTTACATATATGAAGGGCGTATTTTTGGAGTCTTTTCGTTGGAGGTTTAAACAAACACAAAGTAAATATTTACTTTTATGTTTTCTACATTAAGTCCTCTCTAAGGTCATGCTTGACTATCCGGGCTTATATGTAAGTAATCCACAGCCTATTAAATAGCCTTTGTGAGTTGTTGGGTTCAAATGTACGTATGTACGTACATACGAGAGCCCTGCACGCTTATAATAGCCAATTACTATATGTATGCTGAGTATTTTCATTGCACATACATATCGCCGTTTAAAGTACAAAACCGCGTATCGTCGTTCTGCGAAACCCCGTAACCAGCGTTGCCGTTTTAGTCCTTTGTTGGCTAGATTTAGCTACCACATACTTTTTTTGGTTACATAAATCTAAAATTGCCCTTAGCCCATTTTTAGCTCTTTGGAGAATTGATTCATACTTGGCATGAACAAGTTATATATGCTTAATTTGATCTATGTTTTTTTTTAAGAATGTAAGAGATGAAATTTTAAACTAAAAAAGACTGATATATATACATATATGTATTGTATATTCCTTACGTTTTTATACATATGTACATACTGTAAAAGTGTTAGGGCTGTTAACTTATCTATTAACGATTTAACTATGGTTTAAAATAGATAAGTTTACGGCCCTTAATATGCCGTGTATGTTCTTGTGGTGTGATTGTACCAGCTGCTGGTGCGACTTCAAAAACTATTTGAAAATTTTATGATTGTGAAATTAGCTCAGTTTTCTAACCCCCCTTATTCTAGAAATCGAATTTTCGTAATTCGTAATTCGCAGCCACGCTACGAAAAATGAAAAATCCACATGCTGCAACCCTTGCGGAAACATGTGCAGCATTGCCAGCTATCAGTTGATTTTCGAAGATAGCTGAATGAAGGAAAACATAGAGGAAAGAGGGGCTTCCGCATTTCAAAGGCATATAACATTTCTTGTGCATATCACTCCGGCTACGCCGTCCACAATATTTTTGCGCAGAGCCCACGTCAAAATTTGCAAAAAAGTGCATAGTGCAAACCGAGTTTATTAATAAGTTAGTGGTAGGAAATTTGAAACATTTACATATCTTAAATAAAATGTGAATCCTTTGATTACACGTGTATGTTAAAGTTTTTGAATTCGGGTTATGCGTTTGGACACAACAACCGAAAATCATTGTACAAATAACTAAACTAAAGTTTCTCCATAAGGGGCAACGAAAGAGTTGCAGAATAGGGGTGTAAGTAAAAAGTATTTTTGGCGGAAATTTCTTGCTCTATATGAGTCAAAGCCGTGTTTGTGGAAGATTAAGTTCACGATATTGCAGTTGCGAATTAGAAAAAAAACAATGTTTAACAAAATGGTGGAAAAATTATGGTAGAATTATTATGGTAGAAATTATTTCCTCGACCTCATTTGTAAAGAAATAAATATTGTACCAGCATGCTGGTAAGTTATATGATTCGAGCCTGATGGTACAATCACTTGATGGAGCCCTTTTATACAAAAAGGTTTTTGGTTCGATAAAATATTAGCTTTTTTCCAGAGGTCATTGTTTTTCTATACCATTACTTATTGAAAATGTTTGCGTGTATACTTAAATATGTACCCAACAAACACAGTCTCTAGCGTTAGAGAAACAAAGAAAGAGCAGTTTGAAATTCACGTTCGAATCCCATTAGAGATCAACATTCGAATTCGATTAGAGAATTAATATTATCTCGAGTCGAGAACTATATATGCCCCTTTTTGTTTGAGATTGGAGAATGCCGTTTGTTCTCCAATCATTCTCTAATCGATAACTAACCTCAGTGTTTGCTGGGTATATGTAAGTACAAAATTTTAGCTACTATTTTTAGCCACAACGACTTTTTTAGCTCTTTTTAGCCCTTTTTTAAAGGAATTTGGCTACCATTAAAAATGATTCGCGGCAGCATTGCTCGTAATTGACATTTGTGCCAAAAAAGATATTTGCTCGCCGGAAGTTCTAGGCATCAGCCCTTATCCATTTATACTTAAAGCTCAGTTAGTCAACGACATAGCGTAAACGTAGGTTGACGTACGTAGCAGCATATAAAATTTACTCTTGATAGAGAGAGAGAGAAGCAACGGCAACGTCACCGCCATGCGGTGGTGAGTTTTCGTTAACACGCGAATCGCATAAGCTAGATCGTGTCTGCGTCAACCTACGTCTACGCTACGTCGTTGACTGTTTGAGCTTTTAGATATCGATACTTCGATATAAGAAGAACAGATAATTAGAGATAAAAGAGAGAGAAATAGGACTAGCTTGACTCTCTCATGCAAAATCTTGGCATTCCGCGAATTTTAATAAATATTCATCACAATTTGAAACATTTTAATCAGATTTTCTAGAATTTTTTTGAGTATGCAGTTTTGTAGCCCATTAATATAATAAAGTGCAAGTTGGAAGAAGCTTCGACCTACCGTTGATTTTTGGCCATTTTTTGTTCGCGCATTTTCTTCCATACATATTATGTTCAACAATTTTTTTTTTTATGGAGAAAATGAGCAACACCTTCCCCAAACAAATATTTATCAAATATCAACGGTAGGACCTAGCTACTTAAATTTTTCACTTTGAACAGAATAGGTTACAAAATTGCATACTCAGAATTTTTCTAAGAAATCTAATTAAAAAGCTTAAAATTTTTATGAAACTTTGGCAAATTTTGCCAACTTCTGTACAAAGTTTGAAATTTGACTAACATGGTCCTTGTATCTTTCACTTCACTTTCATAAAAAGTAATAAACATTAAATAATCGAAAGGTGAATAGCCAAAGAAAGCTAAAATGTATCTTCCCTATTTATATTTTTGCCACTCTATATACAGTTTTTCATATCCACGATTTTTTTAGGGTATTAGTATTATTTTTTATAATTTCATCAATTATATTATGATATTATTAATAAGGATACTGGCTATGTTTTTGGCTGCCTTATATTCTATGTCCTTTGTGATAACGAAAGTGCTGTACGAAAAATTGTTTTTGGGCTAGAGTTCAGGAAGAGTCTTAATAAATGAATAAAGAAAACACTAGAAATCGGGACTTAATCGGTAGAAATATGAAAAATCGGGCCACTTATACGTTCCGACTTTTAAAAATATTCAGAGGGACAATTTTCTCAAAAACGACACTGTCCCGCTAAAATCGGTACGAGTGGTCACCGTACTTATAGGCGGCAAAGTGACCATCAGCTGAAAATGAAAATACAAAAACAAAATATTTTCGCTTCTGGCTGAGTTGGCGTATCGTCCACACGTAAGTTAAGTCTAGACTAACTAGACTTTTAGTTCTTGAATGAATCATGCTTGCAAGGCATATCAAACCGGTAAATTAAAATATATTTTAAGCAATGAATGTTACTACATATGTAGGTCCCATAGGTTTAACACAAGTTTCTTCGAATTTGTAAAAATTGGGGAGGTTGGTTTAAATTAAACCGCTCAAACGTACATACATACATATGTACATACATATATACTTGGGCTTCACTCTGCAATCATATCGCACTTTCTCAAATGATTCTCTCACAATATGACCCCCAAATGTTGTGATTGGTTATTATATATATTTTTTTTTGTATCTATTATGGATCCGATTCTTATGTTCCCACTCAGATACTGCGGTGTTATCGATGCCAAAAACATCGGTCTGGTCACCTCGATTGAGCGCATCGTCGAATATGTCTTCATGCAGGCATTGGCTTTTCCCAGCTTGGAAGGCGATGAAGAGGATGTTAGCTGCGGTCTGATAAAAGGACAATTGCTGCCGGGCCTAAGGTCCTTCTGCAGTGCTCTGCGTGTTTGTGAGCAAGTGTGCGATCATGTGAATATATTCGACGATAAATGTGATATGTTTGAGAAGATCGAACACGTTGAGGAGGTCAAGGATATGGCAAAGAATCAGGAGTTTTGTGGGCAGCTGGAAGAGCGTGTAAATAACTGGATAAAGGGTATCATGAAGATACTAGGTGAAAGTGAACAGTTACGCAAGGAGAATGACTCGAGCGGCCCGCAGGATGAGTTGGAGTACTGGAAGAAGCGTGGTGCGTTATTTTCGCAACTGTTGGCACATTTGCAGGACCGTGAGGTGCAATATACGTTGCACTGCCTCTTTTTGGCTGGATCGCGGGTTATGCGCGTGTGGAAAGAGACCGATCGAAAGATAACATTTTGCTATAATGAAGCGCGTGATAATTCGAAATTCATTCAGGCTATGGAAACTTGCTGCCACTCTTTGTATTTGGACGATCCGGTAGGTGTCGTGCAGTAATAAATTTTGGTTAATAAAATATGAATATCAATTTTCCAATAAATGAAATACATCCACGAAAAAAAAAATTAAAAAATTTGAAAATAATCTTTAGGGGTCCCTACCGGCGTTTGAAAATATTATAATTTGATAGTTATTGTTATCGAATAATGAATTATCAATACCAATTTAGAGCAATTGCAAGTTTAATTCCAATTTTTTCACAACTTGGTAGCGACTCCTAAAATTATTTTAAAATTTTGAAAGTCCTTATTTTAGCGCATAGGGTGCTATGTATATGTTTTATACATATATACATACATATGGGTGTTTCCATGATGTCGGACGTAACATTCGTACGACTTTAGAGTTAAATAAATCATACCCCGGTGTCGGGAAAATCGATGAAGAGGAGGTCATAACGGACGTGAGAAAACAGAAGTGGTTTCAGACTACATGTAAAAATAAGCAAAACTCTGTGAATCCTGTGAATTTTTCCTTTCTTGAAATAAAGTCAAATAACGGAACCAATTCATTTTTAATCAGAAGCATTTCGTTCTTGGTTTAATTTTGAATTAAAATGTGATAAAGGACGTAACAGACTTTTCCCCCACAATATTTTTTCAAGTAATACATGTGGTATTCTTTTTGTACGTTATCTCTCCCTAGGGTTGCCAACCGTACTATAAAATATAGTATTGTACTATTTTTTGGGTCTGCGTACTATATATACTGTTGGAAAAAAATATATAGTATGCAAAACTACTTAATTTCTTCAATTATAAATATAAATATATTTCAGTAATTTGTAAGAAAGAAATGTTTTAAAAAGGATGACATTTATATTGAAATATTATGACTAAAATAAATATACTTTAAAACAAAGGGTCCACAGATCAAAAATCGCATCATTTTTAAAAATACTTAGAAAGATTTACCGATTTCTCTATTCCTGCAACTTCGGCATCCACAGAAAGAGTTTTTTCTATTAAGATTTTGAAATGGTGAGATGAGAGAGATAAAGCGAATATCTCACTACTAAAAAATTAACTTTGGATTTACATTAATTTATATATTTATAGCGATAAAGCATATGATACTTTCAAAGAAATATATTTTTTATAGAGGAAATGCATAAGACAGAAAAAAGATATATACTTAAAAAGCAATTTTCCTTTTTCTTAAAAAAATACTATATATATTTGAAATGTACTATATTTTTTGAGATTTTTTTGAAAAAGTACCATCTTATATATAGAAATGTTAAATGGTTCTTAGATTTAAAATGACGTTAAGATGAAGTCTCTACTATCAGCAGAACCCCAGATATAACGATCAAAAGAAGTACATGATTAGTCAGAATCACGAAAAAAAGGAAACTTTGACAGATCATATCTCCGAAGAAAAAAAAGAAGAAAAAAATTCGTCCGAAATCCGTCCGACTTAAAAAAGAATGGCTCTTATAAGATTGGCCACGAAATGACCTTGAAATTGACACTAGCGTTATTTTGCCACTCGACATTGGAAATCTTTTTTTTTGTTAATGAATTTTACATATTTCAAAAAAAAAATTCAAGCTAAAGAAAAACTGGCAGGATGGAGGTTACGTTCATTAAGAATATCCCACATATATAATTTAATTTTTAACCGACTTCCAAAAAAGGAGGAGGTTATCAATTCGTCAGAATATTTTTCTTTTTATGTGTGTTACCGCATAACTTTGGACCACGTCAACCGAATTCTTTTTGCATCGGAAAGGTAGTGGCTCAGAAGTGGTCCCATACTAATATGGATTAGATCCCATCACTGGATCATGAAAAAATTAACGGTACTCCTAAATTATTATACGAGATTTGAAGTCGGTTTTATTTTTTGCTTAAAAATTATTTGTTTCAGTTCTTCTCTCCACCGTTTCGCGTTTTCATAACCTTTTTCGCCATCTGAATACGAAATTTAAATTTATAAAGCCGCTTGAGCCCATTTACATACTTGCATTTTCGGTTTACATTTTTATGGAAACACTCATATGGGAGCATTGCTAAATACCTTTTTTACAACCAAATATTTTTTATTCAACAAAGTTTTATGAAATGATTCTTCTTCTTACTTTTATTCAAAAGGTATGCATGAAACAATCGATACTCAGCTTACTCCAAACTGTGCGACTCATCTACAGCGTTTCTCAATTTTACAACACTTCCGAGAGAACCTCATCACTTATGGTTAAGGTTCGTGTTTTATATTTTATTTTCATTGAAAATTAACTAGTACTGTAATTAATCTATTGGAATAGCTTGAAATAATTTTA